TACAAAAGAAAGAAAAGAGGAGAACAAGCGAGGATGGGGATTGAAAAAGTGAAGGGGGGAATGGGAAAAGAAAATCTCGTATAGAAATGGAATTGATTAATTAAATTATTAAAATAATAAATATAAATAAAAAACTAATAATACAATAAAATTTAAAAAAATTTTTTTTACCCTCCTTCCTTTCATATTTGATGGATGTCTCAAAAATAGAGATCTTCAAAGGTCATAAGATGACGATCATAATAAAGTCTGATCTTACGCAAAAAAATAATTTTTCTCTCCAATTTCAATTCAAAAGATCACTTTGATTAATTAACTAATTAATTCATTGTACATATGCCATGCATGCGTCATTATTACATTACACGAAGCATGCTGGATCAAAATCAGACAAAATTAACAATAATACTTTAATAAGAGGCAAGTTTATAAAATTACAAACTGTTAAACCCTTGCAACTCTGGCTAGAGAGCAAGAAATCAATTAACCCCTGAGAAGCAGTTACCGTTTTTGGTAAGTCCATAATAATGAATTAGAAATAATTCTATTTACGCGTTTTTCAAAAAAAAAAAAAAAAAAAAAAAAAATTTATTAAAAAAAAAAAATGTCTTTTTCACCTCAAGCAAAAAGAACTTTGGATCAAACACCAGTACAACAACAACAACAACAACAATTACTTTCCACACCTACACCTCAACCAGAAAATATCATCAATAATGTATTTTCTAGTAGTAATTTTTCAATGGATGAAAATAAATTATTAAAAACTTTTATTTGCTTACATTAAGATTTCTATTTTTATTCAATCTTGCCAGTTTTTCATATGGTGTCTAATCCATCAATTATTTAATTATTATAATTGTTATTAATTATATATATACCAATCATAAAAAAAATCTAGGTAATTATATAAAAACCTCGATAATTTCAGCCGGTATATAACCAGTTTTTCCATTTTTTGTCAATTTAACTAACCACCAATAAATATTAGAATCATCCAACAAAGTTAAAGAGTCACCTTTTTCTACACTTGCTTGACCTTCAACAGTAGCTTCAAATGTATGCATTGAATAAACTAAATCAAAATCGATATCTTCATCGATAATTGATGATGACGACGACGATAAGCTATCATATTCTGTATTATGGTCATTTGACTTTGAGATGGTGGTGGTAGTTTTTGCATCGTTTTTTTCATTATCATTAGTTTCAACATTTTGATCATTATTATCCTTGACAATGGTATTATTTATTATTATGCCTCGAACAGTTGTTTCAGCGTTGTCAATGGTTGAATCATGTTGTCGAAGCATTTTTCAAAATAAATTTTTTTTTAGAAAAATAAACTTATCATAATGATAATGATAATAATAATGATTTTATTTTAAATATTATTTATATTTACTATATTTATAAAATAAAACTTTTACGTTATCATAGTTACGATTGATTGGTGATTCCTTTTTAAGTTTGTGCGATCTAACTATTTTTTATAGAACACATGATGCACGGGCGTATATAATATTAATATGTATTAAACTTTATATTTTATTAGAAAAAACTAAAATAAATTTGTTATAATTTTTTTTGCCCAAAAAAAAAATACTCGATATGCTTTTCAAATGATAAAATCACATCTCCTACCCAATATTACTAATATTAAAACGCAAGGATTACACCAAAACAAATGGTATACATTAATTCATCGATTAACTCCATATCACCATGTGCTATCACTTCATTGATCTTTCTACCTCGCTTAATTTTTTCCCAATTAATACGAATATAACTGAGCGCAGCATTTTTCAAAGAATAATTTTTTGTCTTCCAACCAATAAATAATATCTCACTCCAATTATCATCACTAACCTGATCAATGATTTTTGAAGCAACCAATTCACCCAGTTCCGGAATTTCTCTAATATCTGCTTCAATAAACAAATCTTTCAATACATCGAATGGTATATCATCATTTA